CATTCAATATATTCAGCTTTTCATTATATATATATATATATTCAGACTTTCATTATATATATTCTCAAGTTTCATTCAATATATTCAGCCTTTCAATCAATATATACAATTTCAATCAATATTTTTTTTTCCTGAACGGCTTTCCATAAAAAGTGCATGGATATACATATTAATCAAACTGACAGGAAGCCAAAAACTGGTGGTGTAATGTGTACTTGCCTCAATATATTTGCCTTCTGGTGCTTGTCTGTACTCGGGCTGCAGAGTTCAGACTCAGCTTTAAATGATTTATAACTTTCTGTGGTAGGCTACATAGGAGAGCATTACAACAGTCTTGCCTATTTGATATAAAAGCATGCATCAGTCTCTCTTCTGTCACTCAGGGAAAGGAATGGATACACTTATTTTTGAGATGATAAAAGCAGATTTATTTGTTAGCCAAAGTGACAACCGGTTTTCTTGCCTGCTGGCTATGGGTAAGTCCTAGATAAAATAATTAGGTGGCCAGTTCCGGTCTGAGCCTTAGAACGTAGAACTAAAATTCTGTTTTATCCTGGTTGAGCTATAAAAGGTTTCACAACATCTAAAATACATTTAAAAAGACATCAGAGCAATTGTATGTACACCTGTTTCTTTAACAATCTTAAATGGTGTAGCGAAACACCTAGTTGCAGAGAGTGATTAAAAGCTGCTAGGACTTCATCAGACAGAAAATAGGAGGAACTTGGTCAAGTGAGAAACTTGTCACTACCTTCCTGAGATTTTTAGCATCAGCCAGATCAAAACTGTTCGGCATGGCCTCACAGCGTATATGGGATGCTTCTCTGATGGCATTGTATAGCTGACAAATAGTACACCTAAGGGTGTTTGTCTGCTCTCTAAAGCAATCAGCAAATTCCTCACATTTAGAAGCAATAAGGTGTTGTGCTAAAACACAAATGCTTGCAATATGTTGGCATTTATGAGACTAGAAAAATAATATTGCATAGCAGCCCAAATAGCTTTTTATAAATCTTTAATTTTTCTAACAGAATTTCTTTATGCAAATGTAGTTTTCTTTGCACCATCTGTGCTCTGCAATGCAATAGTCCCTCTTTAATGTAATTGTATCATGATTCTTCTACGGCACACTTCTCTTTACTGGAGGAGCAGCACCAAAGGCTGTAGCCACTCTATTTACAAGAATGTCAAAAGGCATTATTACATTATATTGATGACAGTTCTAATTTTTGTCATGTCTGGATCACAGCTGTAAAAATGAAGAAGTTCATTAAAAAAAAAATCTAATACAGTACATAATGTATAAAATTTGTTGAGGCAACACTTTGCCTCTCTGCTAAGACAACACTATTACATAGCTCATTCTATTCATGCTTGTAATGGGTGTCAGTTATTATGGGAACAGAGACCACACAAGAGTCAGGCAGTGATCAGTTTTCATAGAAAATGGATAGAACTAAGGAACCTGGGTGCAGAAAGATGATTTTGAATGTATGGTTATATTGTAACATAGGCTATCTTGAGGAAAGTGCTGGAGACAGATGCCACCTTTTTTCTCTTTTATTTCTCCACACAGCAACAACAGAACACAGGCACACACTGAACAATCCCTACCAACCCTGAACTAAATACATCCTGCCCAGAGGGGCATTATGGGGGATCTTGCCAGGTGCTTCCCCCCTGAGGCATTCTGGGGGACCCTGCCAAGTGTCTCTCCACCCCCAGTGCTACAGTGTATGTGGCCTGCAAAAAAATTATAGCTAGTCACCTTTGCACTTCAAATACATAGACCCTGTCAGATTGTTTACTCTGTATTAAACTGAACAGCTCAGACCTTTTTCAGTTTTCCTCATAGTGTCATACAGGTTATTTTCACGTATATAAGATGCTCGTTAAAATCTCTGTGGAATGGCTTTATAAAACATCATTACAGTAAGACAACATCTCTAGATCAGTTCCTGCTCATTTGGTGGGAAATGTTTGTCTTCACCTCAATAACAAAACTGCTTCTTTTGCATAATCAGCAAATTGATTATTGGCAAACCTAAGGATTTGGCCAGCTTGGATATCCACTGCATTCAAAGTGTGAAAAGAAAACCAAGCATATTGAGTGCATGCTTTGTGGGGGAATCAAAATCGCCATCCTCCTCATTCTGTGTCAGGGTCTTATTTGCTTTGTCTCATTGCAGTAAAGTGATCCTAAAGTTCATCAATAAGACCAAACGGAGGTACAGTATTGTATGAGTGCCGGAAAGTCTGATACACTGGATTGGTCTCAAGCCTAAAACCAAGTTAAAAAAAAAGAACACAAATGCTAATACCAATAAAAGAAATATAGCTTTGGAATGGTCTTCACCTTGGTGCTTTGTTAAAGAGGGTCAACTGATGTGCTTTAGGTATTCTTTCTTATGAACCATTTGATGTCTGTCAATCATAACCTTTTGTCAGGACTTGAGTAAAGGTGTTTTTTCTGCTACTTATCAGTCTGGTCACATACAGAACATGGCGCAAACACACCATGAGGAACTTGGGGAGTCACTGGTTTAGCTCTGACACCACATGTGGAGTATTCCTGTTATTTCCTTGGTCTGCTTTTTTCTTGTTAAACTTATTTTGCCCCTTTTTTCCTCTATGTTACTAACACGCTTTGGAAACAAACTAACATCATTCATGGAATGTGTCATTCTACTAACCAGTATGGTTTTTGTCGTTAAACAATGTACTAACAGTATTGACCATCATATATTATTTGAGTAACAATCGTTATTCTGTTCACAGTTTTTAATTTCCTTTCTCCCCCCTTTTCCACAAAGCACTCAGGCATTGGACACGCTATGGTAAACAAACTACATTGTTCGGTAGATATCATTCTAATTGTTTCTTAGTTTGGGTTTGCCGTGTGTTTCTTTTCTTTCTTTTTTTACTGTAGACATCATTTACAAAAAAGGGAAATTGCGGTTGGTACTCTTCTGCTTATTTTTCAAATCCTTTTTTAATTTCTTGATTCATTCATTGGTTTTATCCTCTTTATTTCACTTGTATCCTGTCCAATTCTGTTTGATCCACCTTTTTAGGAGCATCATTTCGAGCCTTTTGCATCAAGCTGTGGTTAATAATGAAGACCCTCTCCTGTCTGGCTGGCCTGATGCTCTGTGGCTCAGCCAGTTGTATCCCCATTCATTTTGCATGGCATGCACTTTGATTACGTTTTGCAAATATCACACTGGTCATTTGTCAACATGAGTGTGACAGCTGTGTTTGTCATTGGTGCCTCTCTGGTGCTTTATTATTTCTCTTTGTGGTTTTGGAGTGTTCATAAACTTTTGCATGCATTTGGCACTGTGACAAGTGTCAAAACACTGATTCTATATCCCAGTCACGAATTTGGGAACATTTTCTTTTTGTATGCTTGTAAGCAAAAAGAAAAAGACAATGCATGCTATTTTTTTCTCTAATACCCTCTGTCATTGTCCTTTGTTAAAAGGTGATTGTGCTTTTCATAGCATGTGCTAGCATGTGTTCCCTCTCTAACCCAGTGGCATGTTCTGATTTCTTTTGTAGAACTGCTGGACGTACTAATATGGATTTAATAATTAAACTAACCTAGATGAACATACTACTAACACCATTTTTGTGTCTGCTAAAGTACTTTTAAGTTGCAGTAGGGGCAATACTAACATTGTAGTGTGGACAGTTCACTAACTCTCTAACAAGAATAACATTCTTTTGAAGGCTTACAGTCTTCCAACTAATCAAACTGGACAAAATAATAATAAAAAACAAGAAAACAGACAATGGAAAGAGACATGAAAATGGGTTTCAGAAAAAAAAACATACAGGGAAGTCTGCCATAGAGACAAGAAGGAGAGGCAATGGCACTGCTTTGTATAGGCTGCCTGAGTATAGCGTGTCCTTTCCCTGTGCTTTGTTGTCTAGGTAACAATATCCGTGGATGGGATTCTGACCACCACAGGATATACACAAGAGGACTACACCATGCTAGGCTCTGATGACTTTTTCTATGTTGGAGGGAGTCCTAGCACAGCTGACCTGCCTGGATCTCCGGTTAGCAACAACTTCATGGGCTGCCTCAAGGAGGTAAACACCACTTCTGTGTATACTCTAAGACTGGTGGGTGTACAGGATATGACTGGCTTCACCTTAGAACCCCAAAACAGGCCCTTCCATCCACACACAGTGACCCTGTCTCATCCTTTACACTTTGCTTTACATTGGTTTGCCTCTTCCCCCTTTCCTCACAGAGTCTCACACAAACTTTATTTACCACCCCCTCACGTATGATGTTGCACTAACAAATGCACATTGAGGTGTGTGCTGTACTGTACCATGCAGTCATACATGTAGAACTCTGTCACAGGATCCATACAGCATTCAGCTCTGTCAGGTGTACTTCAAAGAGGGGCCATGATGCTAAGCTCAGGCAGTTGAATTTTCATGAGCTGTCAGCCACATGACACACTTAACACCTCTCGATTCTTCCACTGGGAAACATGCAGTACTGGACTAATATTATCTTAGATCACTCATCTAATGACCAGCCTTATAACTATTATGTTGGTTTATTGTCACACAAATCAAAATGCTAGAAATGTGCATTATGAGGTTCCCGGGCTAAACCCCTTGATTTGAAAAACTGGTGCCCACAACAAGATTCAGAAATATACATTACTGTTTTTACTTCAGCACATGTTGTGATCTGCGTCACCGTGATATGTAGTTATGTTTCTGGAGAGGTGCATGTCAGGCTGTGGCGTAGGGTATAAGGCTAACCATTCCTATATTGTACCTATGGCATAGAGTCACCACAGAACCATAAATCAAGCCTAAGTGTTGTTGTGCTCTTGGAATATATGTATAATTTTTAATTTATC